GTGTAGAAAGAACGTTCCCGTAACCTAATGCAGAGCGCCCAACCTTTGCAAACGGCAGCCTGACAGTTCCGCTCCGTCGAAGCGAAACGGCAGGTTCAAGCCTCCGGAGAAACTTCGGCCATTTGGAAATGCTGCCAAGCGATGCAAAGGGTGTCGTTCGCTCGACTAACGTGACTAACGTCTCTGGATGTCTCTGGGACCACCTCGTGCGGCATTTCGGCACTCGGCGAAATCGACTAGCCTCAGCCACATAGCCGTCACCAGAACGATGCACTGCGCTTCAAGATTAGAGAACGGCACGTGACACTGTTGATACTCTCCTGAGTCCCGGACAACTCTGTGCCCGTAGGACAACTGCCCTGAGACACTTGCACGGCATCGCCATCTTCATCCACGGCCGCCTGCCAGTTGAACTGGAGCTGAGATTTGTGAATGAGCCGCGGCATGCAGCATGAACGCTGCCAAACCTGAGGATGCACGAACACTCAAACTGCGCGCGTATTGTGTACGGAAGGCTTGCCCAGAAAGTCATCTCAAAGATAAAATGCAACGACAAGCCGCTCCCTTCACCTCAAGCGTCTGCTAGGCTCATACGCCCATTATGCCGCAGCTTTGTCACACATGCTTCCTCACTTCCTTCTACGGCCTCGCCACTGCAAGTATGTCATCAGTTTTGGCAAGCAACAGGCATCATTAGATTACCTTCATGAAAGTGGGGTTCATGTGCCACTTGCGGTGCTACTCTGTAGTAGAAGCTCTTAGGGTCTAGGGTTTTAAGTTTAGGGATGCTTCGGGTTTAGGATGCCACTTAAATCCTAGACACAAACAAACTCCTTGCAGTGCTACTCTGTAGTCGAAGCCGAGGCTTAGGGCTTAGGGATGTATACGGGTCACTTCGCATGCGGACATAGAAGCCCGTGTGAATCCCCCTCAACGTCCACCTCCAGGCGTCAAGCGTGTGAGCTGGGAACCATGTTCGCAGGTGCTTGCATTCCGTCCACCTTCGCACTTTGTCGTTTTCCACCTCTCGGTCGTTGGCTCCTTAGACGCCCTTCTTATAGAACGACCTAGGGATGATGGCGGCGATATTCGGTGATCTCTCACGCATCCTCGCCTCAATGGTGACGGGTTTGCTGCCATACCGGCTGAAAACACTTCCCCTGCTGTTTTTGTCCTGGCTGCAATGGTCCATTTGCATTCTTGGGCTGAGTGGGATGGAGTGTCTGTATCCTGGCTCTTTCTTTCTTCGGGCTGGCTTTCAGGGCACCCCACCCCGATTGATGGACAATGCAACAGGCAATGCGATTTTCTGACAAGACTGCACTCCCTAAGCCTGTGTTCGACCAGCAATACTGTTTGTGCGTTCGGCCAGCGCGCCGGAAGAGCTGTTGCGTCAACAGGCTTACAGGGATGCCTCCTTCGCTTCCTAATCTCCTAGACATGCTCGAACTTCTTCAAAGGTCATCCGAACACGTCGAGCTGAAGCAGCGGAGACGGACGAAGGCCTGGATTGTCTGTGCATGATTCCCAGACTCCAAGACGAGCACCTGGCAATGCGCATAAACCCACAAAGCCAAAGCCTCGATGTGCCTGCAGGCCGGCCTCCTTTCGAATCAAGTTTGGAGCGCCAGCCCAGCTGGTCGGCAAGCTGGTGGGCAAGGAGCCTCTCCCCGTGTGGTTTGCTGCTTGAAGGAACATGATGGGATATCATGGACAATGCAACGCCTTCACGAGAGCTAAGCCCAGCACCCTGCCACAGATAGCAGAAGCTACCTTGGTTCGCTGGAACTAACTTCACCAGAATCAGATTGCCACACGTCACACGTCTTAGTTGCACGCATATGAAGGCCTGAGACCGTAGCATGGCGACTCGCCACGGCTCGAGCCCAGATCAGTCGCCAAAAGACATTTCACAAGTGCTGCTCTCGGTCATCTCATCTCTCTCGCACATCTCGCCTCTCCTCGCGCTCCTGCCACACCACTACAGGATTCGCTGCGCTGCCCGGGCCTCTGAAACTCTCGGCCGCGGCAGATCCAAGGCCTCGCCTTGAGGCATTGCAGGGCGATGCGCAGCGCAAAAGCCCGGCCGGCCCAGCCCTCTCGGCACTCGTTACAGGACGCCTTGCCTCGAAGTGGGGCCACAGCCGGCTGAAGAGGAAGAGGCCGAGGATTGCAGCGCCGGGCTGCCTCCGCGTGTTCTCACAGCCGCACATGTTTAAAAAGAACATACCCCACGCTTGCCAGCAGCGATGACAGCGCCTCTTTCTGCTCTTTGGCCTCAGCCTCCCTTTCTTCTGCGAACTCCGTGGCCACCTCGGTTCGATTCGGCATGGCCCACCGACTGCTTGTTGCAAGCGTTCACGGGCCTGCCGAAGTTCGACATGAGCTGCATTGGACCACACCTCAAACAAACGCACAAACCCAAGCATTTCCACAAGTTCAGATTTCCTTGCGTGGGTTGTTCCAGACCTGTTTCGACATACTTTCAAGTCATCTTTCGGCTTGACGTTCGCTCCAGAGGCCAGCATCTGTTACCCAGATCCACATCTCCAACAAAGCCTGTGAGGCCAGCCGCCAGCCCTCGTCATACCCACTCAGGCAGCGGCTTCAAAAGTGGCCACACGCTGTCTCGCAAGCCGCACATCATCTTCTGCCTGCAGCGACCACGGGTTCAAGCATCCCGGCTGTTTGCGAGACACCCTACTCAAACACGAAGAGTGGGTACAGAGTCGATAGGTGGCGGTTTAAAGTTTAGGCCCGGGTTCAGAGCGAGCCAGACTCCAGAACCAAAAGTCGGCAAACACTGACTAGTAAAGCAAGAACCAGAACCTCAAACCTTAACCCAACAATGAGCGGGTGTAGCAAAACCTCCACCCTCGAACGGAGCCGACTGGCAAGCCCTCAGACTCGGAAGCTACAGAAACGGCAAGCCTCAACAACCTGGACCCTGAATGAGTTGGGGAGTGGCTCCGTTCGAAACCCGACAGGTCCCATAGTAGGAGATCGCAAACTGACACCTAAAGGCCAGAAGCAGCCAGGAGTTGCAAACTTTGACCTCAAGAAAGAGCGCGAAGTAACAAAATCTCATCCTAAGAGGCGGCTTGTCGTAGATCATGAAAGAAACACCTTGCAAGACGTGGCAAAATGGTTACTCAATTATTGGCAAGTGATGAACGAACAGGCTTGCGGCAAATCCTATGACGGCCTGATAGCTTCACGCCATATTGACCTTACGGAATAGACTGACAAATCTTAAACTGCATTAAATAACCCTAAATCCGGAAATTATGCCACCTGCTATATCAAACCTAGACTGGAAAAGTCTGCGACAGAGTCCACAGGGAGTGGCGCTGAAGTCCCTGCAAACGGAATCGGAAAGGGGAGTAGCATGTTTCAACACAGCTTGCCCAATGCAGTCGAAATGGGGACCGGCAGTGGGCGGGGAGATGCACAAACTCCTGGGAGGGCGCGGCCTGGGGGTGCAAGTGTTGAGCTGGCATAATCCATTCCGGTGAGCGGGCCGGGCAAGAGACAAGATGTGACAACGGCCTAGTGGCTGCAACCATGCTAAGACTGTGCTCCGGCCTGCGCCCTTCGAGCCTCCAAGTTGCGAACTTCAGCTTGGCGCTCCGACAGTGCAGTAGCCTCGGCGTATCGAAGCCGTGCTAACATAGCTGAGCCTGGAGCGATTGGCTAATGGCCAGAGGAAAGCTATTGCAAGTGAGGGTCCAGAACCTAGCTGCCTCACGGACTATCGCTGGGCCACTGGGTAGGGGCACGGCCACATAGAGAGAGGAAAGGCCAGCAGGAGCGCAGACAAAATTGTGGGCTTATGGCGTTGCGCTGATCGTTCGAGCCTGGTGATAACCTCCAGCTGCAAGGCTCATCGCGACAGCTGCTGTGATGTGATGCTGCTACGAAAAACAAGATCGCATGCCGTCGGGGCTGATCTTCGTGATCTGACCCGTCCTCTGCAAAATTATCTACTGCTGTTGGTAAGTAACAAAGAGAAGGGCACGTCATGATAGCCCCTGCTCATCACCAGAAGCTTTCCGCCTCACTTACCTTGTTGTTTTGTTGAGTGTTTCTTGTCGACTTGGCGAAACAAGCATCGTACTCTCCACGAAATTCCAGAGCTACGGCAAACTTGTGCCACAGAAGGTCTCAAGTGTACTGAGCCCGTCGCAAGGCTTGCGACCTCCGGCACAGCAGGACGACTTTCACCAGTGGCAAGAACTATGCCAGCTTGCCACCATGAAGCTGTTGGCAGACACAATGCAAACGTGTCAGTCACAAAAATAGACGATCGAGTCGAGCGCGCTCTCACCCTGCCCCGCAAGCCTCTGCGTGCAGCGATGATGGTGATCTATGGTCCTTCCAATCGCAAGCGGCGACAAGAAGGACCGTCACGGTGTCGAGTTGAAGCGAGCAAGGCCAGTCACTTGCGATCTTCGGAACCCAAGGTTAGGGAAACTTCTGCATGTTGCGACTCGGTGAACCCCACGGTCAAGCTGCCTTGACAAATTGGACCATTGCTTCACAGGTCACTGCCGGCTGAAAGTTCAGGTCTGCTTAGCAGCTCCCAGCCCATCACCAAGCAAGCAAGCAAGCTTCCTTTTGGAGGTCAACTCCGCTAATGAGAACCTGGAAGCCGGTGAAAGCTCATCCCAGGCCTCTGCTGCTTCGGCACCTGACCCAAGCTCATCTTCACTGCAGCCACTGCCCACGCGTGCAAAAGTCGAGCCCATTCGAGCCCAGCACCGAGAAGCTCGCCTTCCGCCTTCCGCTATACGGCAGGAAAGCAATGGAAAGCAAGGAACTGAACACGTAGCTGAGAGTCGAGCCTGTGCCAGCAGCAGCTCAGCTTGCAATTGCGAGAGCCTGAAGATTGGTTATGATTGGTTTGAACAGGGAATTTCCCTTGTTTGGCCCTGTTTCCGCATAGGCGATCCACTTATCTGAGGCGCCGCGCAGTCTTTGGCCCTCGATCAATTCGGTGACTTCACCCTGAGCGCTTCTTGTCAAGCGCATGTTCTCGACGAAGCAGTCTTTTGATGCTTGTTGGGCCTCATCTGGAACCTCATCCGGTGATTCCATGGCCAACGCTTGGTCCAACTCGGCGATCTGCCGTTCTAGGCCTCGAAGTCATGCAGGTTGACATAGGTTGACAAGAAACTCTCCGGGCACAAGTTATGCGTAGGTCCCAGGCGGCTGATTTCCGCGGATTGCAAATTCCTCGCAACCTGCAATCGTCACTGAAAACACCGCAGGCGGAATATGGCTTAACAGCTCAAGCAAGCGACGCCTCTGGCGTGGTCTGCAAGCTTTGTTGCTCTTGTGCCTGATACAGTCAGTCTACCAAGCTTCCGCTCTTGCAGGAACTTGTAGTTTTAGACAAGAGGAAAAGGCTAGACTCGACTAACGCTGCTCGCGAATGCGGCTATGTTCGGTAACAAGGTAAGCATGCTCACACAATACTACGTTCCCGTCTCAATCTTCCGAGATTCGTGCCTCTCTCGTGCTTTTGTATGGACGTGTCCAGGCGGCATCATGACCAGTGTGCCAGTCGCGTTCTACGACTAGGGCTCCACTTCCGGCTTCAAATCTGTCTCCGGCTGCGCCGGCAAACCTTGGATTCCATGCACCCCGCTTGCAAGCATCGCTGTTGTGGTTGCCTTGCCGCTGTCGCCAAAGATTTCGAAAGCTTCTGCGAGGTTTGCGCACGGTGTCCAGAGTAGCTCGTGCGCTGCCCGAAACCCCGAGTTCTGAGAGCTTGATGAGCTTGGCCGGCCGCTCGCTTCTTCTCATGGTCTACTTGGAAAGGAGCTGCTGGCTGCTGGAGTCCTTGCTTTTAATTGTTTAAGCCTTAGCTCATGACAAAACGGGCTTTCTGTCTTCTGTGCGCTTCAGAAAGCAAGGGCAAACAAAACAGGGCAGGGCAGGGCCGGAGACTGGGCTTCCCGGGAGTGCGGATTCGCGCTTGCAGTACCACAGGCCTTCAAAACACATCTCTAATCATCTCTACATGCTGACCTACATGTCGTCGTAAGGTAGAGTATATGTTGCTTCCTCCCATGCAAACAGGTGCAGTTGAAAAAACAGCATTCGCCACCTCGGCGAGCACGCGCGGCGGGGCTGTATGCGCCGCCTTTCCACCTCCCGCCCTCGGCTTGTGCTCAGCTTTCGGTCTACGTCGCACACCACTTCTGGAGGCCAGCATTGCAATGCGAACTGTTTTGTCGCCTCGCCCAAGCAAGACTGTGCGGTCTATACAATCAGACTCACGGCAGAGTGCATCTTGCTCACGAAGCTCTGAAACCGATTCCAGTTGTCTCCATTCAGCAGGTCATTGCCCAAGCGAAGGTAAGTAAACACCTGCATGCCTGAGGTTTCTCACATAGTGTGCACATGATCCCTTATTAGTGCAGCAACAGGGTGCTCGAACAGCTGCCCACTGAACTTGCCTGACTTGTAGGACTCGATCTTGGAATAAGCAGTATCATCAAATCTGGGTAAGGCATTCTCTCCACCCAGGGCGATGCCGTGACTGGCAGTTGCCGCCATCACCTGATCACAGGTGTATCCGGCGTCACCGGATCAGCCGTCGCGATAAAGTCCAGGCCTGCTTCACGAGCTCCTCCGGGCCAGAGGCGCAGTCAGCGGACTGCTCCGAGTCGGCCATCTCCTCAGCTGTCACATCACACAAGTGGGAGCACCACGCAGCACCGCAGCGCAGCCCTTAAGTCTCGGGCCATGCAGGTGAAGTCCACGCCTGCACCTGCAGCCTCGAATATCGCAGAGATGGAGTCATATGCATCGATGCCGTTGGCGTTGTAGTAGCCTGGTCATGTCGCATCCACTGGAATTTCATAGAGCAAGGGCCACGGTAGGTTCGTGTAGAATTGACCGTCCAAGCCTGAAGTGAGCTCTGCAGCATGGTGATCGCTCTTGTACCACCAGTGGATTCCAGCAACCTTGCCTGCCAGACGGACACCCGACCTTCCGAATGCCTCAGCGGACAACTAAAGCCCGGTCTTGCTCTCCAGGCTTAGAGTCGTAGCTTTTCACAATGAAAGCGGCTGAAATGCCTCTCAGGTCACTTGCTTGGCGCGCTGGAGCACCTCAGCGCCATGCTGAAGGAGTGCCTCAGCTCTGGGGTCGCAAAGGAAAGCCGGAATGGGCCTTGGGCCAAGTCTTTGCCAAGCTTCATCGGCATACCACTTCAGAAAGAATCTGCCGAAGTCTGACTGGTATCCGTTCTGGAAAAATGCTGCATCACCTGGCTCTTCATCGTCAGATGCAAGCAACCGCTCTTGACGCTGCTAGCTCCCGACGGAGCCTTGCCTGGGTGGCTGTTGTAGTCCCCAGCATCCGACGGGGGATTGCTCCAATCAGCGTGTCCTCGCAGCATCTGCTGTGAAAGCACGTGTTCGTTGCGACTGCCAGAAACTCTGCGAGAAAGTTTGTGTGTGGCGAATGGCCATTGCGTGCGGTGGGCACACGGGTGAACGGGCACAGGGCATGCGACTCCAAGCTGCATCTGAAAACATTGCACCCCCCCCGTCTCCTGCACTCTTTGCAGCACTGGCCAAGCTGTTGAGAGCATTGGCATCGTAGCATTGAAAGGCACCGACGCCACAGAACTTCCACTGAGAAAGCTGATAGGCCTGGGCTCACAAACGCACAGACACCCCTCGATACTGCCAACTTGTCACCAATTTCCGTGCAAGTCACAGGATATCTAAGCTCGCCAGCAGGCCCCATGCCCACCTGCAAGCATGTCTTGAACGAGCTCGTTGTTCGTCTCCGAACACTCAACGCACTCAAGCAGCGGTATTTCGAGGCAACTGGATGTAGTGCTGAAGACACTCTGGCAACATGAAGCTTCTGAAGTTGGAAGCTAATGTTAAGCCTGCTAAGCAGAGTCAGCTTCCTGTAAGTTGTCGCAACTTCGATCTGCTGTGGATCGGCAACATTCGGCAATTACTACAAACTGGCTTACACCAGACTTACGTGTTTGTGGACATCTTGCAACCACACCACACGGACAAACATGCGATGCAGACATTGGCGAGCCACCCCGAAACGTACTCAGACGTCGATACATGCAACCACCTTCAGCCCGCAGCAACCTCTGTGAAAAGCTGCATCGGTATTGCAATGACCGATGCTTATGATTCGCAGCACCAGAGCAACAGCAGGTAAGGAACATCTACGTACATGCCCAAACCAGACCCATCACCCACCTGGATCTCCTCAATTACACTGCCTCGAGAAAAGATCGATCCGTCGAGGGTTGCAACTACCATTAGCTCGTGGCATCTTACAACTTCTCCGCCCAGTTGCCTAGCTCTGCCGCAAAGTTCGACGAAAGCGCGTTGAACCAATCGCTGTACATTTGCAAGGGGGTGCGACCTGTTGCAAGAAGTCCTTCAAGCTAAATCTGTTCGAAAAGCTCCCGCCTTCAATCGTGACATTGTCAGCAAAAAGTGATATGTATTCTCTGTCTTCATGGCCATGCTGGTCCTGCCAGCCAGGAGACAAGTGCAGCATTGACAGCAAATGCATCTTGCCTGTCCTTGTACCAAATGTCCCGCTGAGAAGTCACAAAAGCAGGCAGAGGAATATCGCAGGTGTCGCCCACATTGCCGCCGCATTGGTGAAAGGAGGTTACCAGCTGCACCTACCACGAGGCCACGAGGCATCCGAATCTCGGCACTGGACACCCATCCCACCAGCAAGTAGCGAATCTAGCTGGGACTCATGATCAGATTGCGCAACACCTCATGCCGGTGGGCTCCGCTCTTGTTTGTTGGTGAATTCCTGTGCTTGAACGTTTCGCATCCTCGGCCCTTCAAAGCCTTGGTAGGACCAAGGTCTACAGACTCTTAACCCGCCGCTAGCTGCACAAAAGAATGAGGAGAACTGCGACTGGTGCCTTGCCTTCAGGCCAATGCTCTTGCACATGTCGACGAGCTGCTTGTATCCGTCAAATTTGTAAGACTTTGCACTTGGTTCGGTGGCACCCCACCACACATCTGCCATGATTCCGTCTGCGCTGCCACTCTTCCTCACGAACGCGAACTTTCAAGATCATGCACCAATAGACTCTTCATCGAAAGTCGACCGCACCGTCGGCACTGCCCCTGCTCTTGCTGCAAAACAGCTTGCCCAAACATGGACACTCCCAAAGCAAAACGAAATGTAAGAGAACAACACGACAGTTGCACAGGAAAACATAGGAAAACTGTGAAACGAACCGCGCACACAGCAAGCATGATGCATGTAGGTCGAATGTCTGTACACGTATGTTGGGTGAGAGTCCGATATTCCCGTCATGTCATTGTCTCATCTTCAAAGCCGTGCTGCATCACACACAGATTGTGCATAAACGGTGCAAGGACAGGCACTTTACGAGCAGGTGCTGGGACAAGGCAAAAAAGTACTTTAAGGGGAGCTCCACGAAACAGTGTCACATACGGCCTGCTTGGTCATCACTGCAACTCTTGCGCGTCGAGGTTCAGTTGCTGTAATTGGGCCCTCAATGACTCTGGATCCTTCAAATCTCCAGATTGCGTCACAGCATCGAGACCTCGCAGATGGGAGTTTGGAGAAAACAACACACACAGAAATGGATACGTGGAGCTGTCCGCCACTGCCAAGGAGCCGAGCATCACGAAGACCTCCACTGCCTGGAGCCGAGTCAGGTGGAAATTAGCAAAGCCTGCAGATCTCTGGAAGCCGAGCTCCCGGCATCTGCCCATGCAGCAAGGAGCAGTGTCGCGAGCAACCGCATCATGAAACGACTTCTATGGGATCAATTCTGGCAACAAGCTATGGCTGCGGTGTCAGGATCGCATCTCCCACGAATCAATCGCAAGACCTCCGGCGCCCGGTGCTGATTCAGCAGCTGGGGATGCGGCCGAGCTTCGCTTTCCTGGCTGCGCACCGCTGCGCAGGCCGCTGGGACCTGCTGAAACTTGGAAGCCCTGTTACAAGCTGCGAGCAGCCTTACGTCCTGAACCATCCTGCAGCGTTGCGTGGAAGCATCGGGCTGAAGTCTGCACACACCGAAGCTATGACCGAACACCGCCGAAGCTCCGTTGCCTCCCCAGGAGTCGTTGGCGCCATGTCATGCTTCCGGGATGGTTGCCCTCTAGTAATGTATCGAGGCCATTCTGAATCGCATTTCAGCTGATCCCTCGTGCTGCATGCCTGCTGTGATTGCCAACGGGGTCGTGCCAACAGAAATCTTCAGGCTACGACTGCAGGTTTGAAAGGAGCTACAGCTACGCAGCTGCAAAATAGCTCTTTGCAAATCCTGACTGGTCTTTTACTGCATCGACCATGTGACAAAGGCAGCACAATCTTTTCTCGGCACATGAAGCAGCCATTCCCCCGCTTTGCCCCTACAATGTGGCATCTACGACGTCTGTACACGCAGATCCCTGTTTATCCGCAAAGTATATGAAGTATGCAGTGCATCGCTTGCAAGTCTGCTTACCACGGCTTGAAAGCGCTAGCCACTGCCAGACAATGCATCAAATTGCTCTCCCAGGAATGCTCAGGTTTTCTGAGCACAAGCTGAAATACCCACCCAGTTACCTTTTGGCCACGATAATGTAGAGAGCCTGCTATGATAAATCGAGAGGGCAAGCGGCACATCTGCAAAGGAAACCAGGTGATGTTGAAATAGCTTTGCCGGTGTTCGACATGTGCCAATGGTCTTGATCCTCAAGACGTGGCACGTCTGCAGCAAACCTCTATCAACTTGAGCATTCGCAACCCTACTGCGCACACACACACACACGTCGTACGTGTTGGATCTCTTCTGAAGCTTTCTCAGCACAGCGTGGCAGTCGCCACCGCGAACTCGAAACCGGCATCTGATATGTTGACCTTCCTTGCACATCCGCAGCCACACACAATGCTAATGTGTCACCAGAACCATGCAATGGCCCTCATGCGCTTGAATGGGGCTCATGTACAATGACGTCCATCTGCCTATCCACTGTTTACAGATAGCAGAGTCTAACCTTCGTCATCCGGTACGACATTGTGCAAAGGCAATGTGGGGCACTTTCGGTCGCTCGACGCAACTTCACAGCAACCTCAGACGGTCAAGAAGTAGGGACCTGGATGGGTTTCACAGCTTTGCAACCCAAAAAAAACAAACGGAGAATCGGACTGCACTTTGCGTAGGAAGGGCTCCCCTCATGCGCAAAGTGCAGCCGGATCGCCCGTTCCGTACTCAAAAACACCCAAGACGGAGAAACGAACTGCACTTTGCATAGGAAGGGTTCCCTTCATGCGCAAAGTGCAGCCGGAGCGTCCGTTTCGTACCCAAAAACACCACAAAACGGAGAATCGGACTGCACTTTGCGTAAGACACGCTCCTTTCATGCGTAAAAAGCAGCCGGATCATCCGTTTCGTATCCCAAAAACGCAGAAAATGCAGCCGGAACGTCCGCAGGAGCGGCGCAGTCTAGCAAACCCCAGCCACGGAGACCCGTCGACCACACAGCTTCAAGTTGCTCACCATGAACCCTCCTCACCACTTTGCACGGATTCTGTGCCAAGCCAAGCAGCCCGTTGCTGCTGTCTGCTGGTACTCCACGGCCCCACAGGACCGGTGAGACCGCCACGCCTTTCACTGCAAGATCCCGTAACTGCTTCGCCGCTTCGCTTCACTTGTCACTTCCCTGCGAGAGTCTTTGGTCGTGGCCTGGACCTCCACTGAGAGCCTCATCACTGCTTGTGATGAATGCCGGACCACGAAGGTCCGTGATTTGGCCATCAACCTGCACACATCAAAACACATGAAAACCCTGTGAAAACATGTGACATCACGAGCTGAGTATGGCCAGCGGCCTTGGACAGAGCCGTGTATCTTTGGACGATAAACCTTAACCACACTCTCGAAACTGCACCAGGAGAAATCGTGACAGTTTCGTGCGAGATTCACGGCAGCTTGAAGATTGAGCTAGAGCTCCTCAGCAGGTTCTAGTCTGAAATCCAGCCCGCTGCCGCTGTTGGAGTCCCAAGCAGGGTACTTACTGTCCAGAACTTTGCAGACTGTACACCGGGTTCATGCAGAGATTTGCGCACTGATTGCAGATTTGCGCAGCGAAACGGTGCGTGAGAGGACGACCCCAAACCCGAAGCCCACAGAGATGAACACGTCAACCCTAACACTAGATGAGTGGTAGAACCCTCGTCAATAGGGGAGAGGGGATGGCAGGTGGCAGAAAACCAAGTCGGGAGTTGTGGGAGATGGCCCATTCGTGAGTCAATCGCGGAAGCTCGAATCGCACCGGTGATTCAACTGTGCGTGCTCCATGGCCCTGCCAGTGCTTGAATGGCACTTTGGCATTGATGAGCATAAGCCCCTGTGTGTCACAGCTGCGCTTACAAGACCTCGACCTGAAATGACCTGAAGGCGGTGTCATACCGTGGTAAGGCGAGGGGTGGTAGATGCAGCAGGCATCGAACAGTACGGTGTGCTGCCTCAGCCGTCGAATTGGTACTCTGCCGAGGCACGCTTCAGGCTCCGCAGCCACAAGTGGCCGTGCTGCCAGAAACCTAAGGCAATGTGAATTCTGGACTCCTAGATTCTAGATCCACACGGCCCTTGGAAGAAGAGCGTTGCATTATTCTGCAGTTCAACTTTCCAGCACCCTCCAGCTTACCGAGTCGAGTTTCTCTTGGCGTGGCAGCTTTGCCCCCACCCAAACTGCATTGCCTCGCGACAGAACATCCAGTCTCCCAAAATTCCCAAATCCCCACCGAGCCATGAAGACCAAGCACAATATGTCGCCCCGATCCTGCCTCCGCGACCATCCACACGCTTGACCACAACGTTTGGCTGTGTGCCTCCGTTTTGCCAAAACCACGCCCATCAGCATGTGGACATAACACTGTAGTTCTACAAACTATGAACATCATGAAGGCCATTAAGGGTCTTGGGTGGAGGCGGCTATTCCATTTTGTTGCAAAAGCACTGGGATTGTCGAAGACGGAGTGGATCAGATCAGCTTCCCCTGCGAAGCTCCGGGTCGGGATCGTGCGAAGAAGCGGCTCCTTTGCAGTGTTGGCAGATATCGATATGGTCTCAAAACGAGAAAGGATCACCACGTTTTGTCTGCGCCATATACAGAGAGGGAGAGATATGGAAAGAAAGATAGGTAGATAGATATACAGCTAGATAAACAGATAGAGCGATAGACAGACAGACAAATAGACAGATAGACAGGTAGGTAGATAGATAGACAGATAGGTAGATATAGATGGATGGATGGATGGCTGCTCTCTTACATTGCTAAGCTCGCTCGTACCTGCTGCGTGGATGATCGATGAGGGCATGTGACAAAACTCGCAAGAGCAACCAGCAAGCACAAGGCCGCTGCACGATGTACCCTAGCATCGCGCATACTGGTGTGCATCGTCCAACCGCGCAGCTGCGGTCTCGAACGCAAGCTTACTACTATCTCTGCTGCATCTCTTCCGTCCAGGGATAGCAGGGTCATCAGAGAAGAAGCGAACGGTGCAAAACCAGACTCCAGACTGTAAACCCCCTGTCAATGAATGTCAATTATTCATGTTCGCAACACCACTTCCTCACCCAGGTAATGCCGAATCAGCTGGTCCATGTAAGAGCACAGCTCCTGCCAGAGTGACAGATCTTAGAATCTAATCGTTTCTGTCTATCAGAGTTCCCTCCCAAAAAATCCTTGTCTTCCACCAAAATCAATCCAGGACCGTTGGCGACCTGTGCATCTAATCTGCCGCAAAGCAAGCCAGCGGCAAGGGCGGGTTTGCTCTGGCTCTGGGCACCTTGACCCTGCCTTTGTAGTATGCTTCCAACAGCCCTGGGACCTTTCAGCACTTTCGCATGGCTGCACCACTGCTCTGCTGACAGTGCTCTTTGAGCTTCCGGCACCCTGCTTGCCCTCCATGAGGCGCTGCCATCCCTCCTCACAGCCGTGCATACATCGACCTGCGGCGGCATGCCTCGACTTTGCCTTGTCGTCCCGGCGCAGAACACGGAAGAGCTGATCGCCTGCATCAGATACAGAAGCATCTCACACGGAGAACCACGCTGAACTGCCAAGCAACGTGCATTCTTGCTATCGCGCTCACCAATCACCTAAGTCACGGAACAAGGACCGTGATGAGGAGGCCCTCTTCGGCCCCGGCCTGGCCGACGGACTCCACGGCTTCGCGCAACTCCGTGGCGCAGCGGCGCGCCCGCTCCGCCTTCCCCGCTTCTCCAGCGAACAAAGCAAATACATCCGGAAAGCTGACGTTGAGGTGTTTCTTCCCGGACACGACACCATCCCAGTCCAAACCGCAACGTACACTAGGGGTGGTTGTCTAGACTGTCTGAGCAGCCACGGCCGCAGAACCCTCCAAGATCCAAACCTCGATCGGGTGGTCGCTCATCTGCCAGGCCTGTTCCAGCTTTTTCAAGCCTGCAACAAAAGGACACATGCGTTTTCTGGAGGTGGCTCATGGCGCAGGTCTTCAGGACAGCTGCAGAGCTTGGTGCAGTCGTGCCTTCTGCATCTGGTTTATAATGGTAAGACTCGCCGAAGGTCAGCTTGCCAGATCCTGCATTGTACCTAATCGGGCCATCAGTGCGCTCGCTTTGGTTGGTATTCTTGTCTGTCCACGTCCAGATGAGCTTGCCCCCTTTCATCTGTAGTGAACTCTTGTTGCCCTCTGTGTCCAGAAACTCAACCTTGGCCTTCATGGAGACTAAAGACTTTTCGTTTCTTGAGGCCTTCATCACCTCTTTCTTCTCCATCTCTTCGTATGCACTGATTCGACTGCGAGCCTCGTCAATCGCCGAGCGGAGCTTTGTGCTGGGATGTCCTGGCTGAACATCCGTGGGTTCGGACAGCAAAACCACCAGCCCAACAGGCTCTTCCATCGGAGCCGCCTGCTTCACAGGTGACCCGCGCCGCCGCACTGGGCTCCGACTTCGGCGGTCTGAGCCCAGGTCTTTCTGAGAGGTGGTTTTCGCCGGAGCCAAGAGGACGCGGCCGTGACGGACCAGTAGCCTGGGCTGATCTTCACGGGGGCCTTTCTCGTCCGGCAGTTGCACCGGCACGAGGCCTTTCTGCCTCAAGAGCGTCACAAGCCGGCGATCTTCGTTGTCGTCTCGGACTGAACGGTGGTAGTACAGAACGACCACCTTCTCCCCCTCGGCGACCTGCGCAGGTTAGCGCTGGTTTCAAGACGGCAGGCCACAACTCACAGAAGCTGTAGCTGAACTTGAGGCATCTCCGAGCAAACACCTGCTGAGAAGGCGCGTTGCCGGCACAAGGGGCCCCCTTGCCTGGCGCTTGTAGTGATTGGCCATCTCTTCGTAGAGGCGCTCGGCATTCGCAGGCTCTAAGTGGGGCTTCAGCTCCGGGAAGCCTTTTGAACCGTTGGCCTCTCCCAGCAGAACCTGCCGCGCAAGGGGCAGGTCTCCGAAGCCACCAACATAGCCCAAGTTGTCTTCCACAACATAGAACTCATGGCCATGCTCACAAGGTCCACGGATGATGTCTGGACCATACCAGATGTTCCAGTAGAGCTTCTTTGAATCTGCCTCCTTCTGTACTAGGTTCTGAGTCCATTGCTCACCAGCTCGAGCTGCGATTCGATTGAAGACGTCACGAGGCAGTGCTCCACTCCGCACGCAGCTCAACTGTCCAACTTTCATCTCTTTCCTGCTGTTGACATCCATCACTAGCCGTCGCAGAGCCTGCGCTCGCTGCGCTACTCCTGCGGTAATGTTCGCAGCCTCAGAGCGAGCAAAAGACAGCAAGCGGAAGGCTCACACTGAATCTTTCTCCGGCGGCCTCCGGTTGTGTAAGCATCCGCGGGATGTGGTATAATCGATTGTCGCCCTTGAAACATTTCCTCAGACTCGGCATGAGTTCTAGCTCGCTGTCCCTGACTCCAAATGCAATGCCCAGTGCGCCAAGCATCTCAGACTCGGCTTTGAAGTCATTGATGCCTGGGTGAACCCCAAGAGAACTTCTACAAACGTGCTTTCAGCTACCTGTTGCGTTGCCAGGAAGCGTCTGGGCTTGCGATTCAGAATCTGGTCCATCTCCTTTATGACGCCCGCATAGGCTGCGCGGCAGTGTCCTCGAGCGAGCCCGTCGATGCTCTTTGCATCTCTTTGCTCACTGCTCAGAGATGCTCTTTGTGCCTTTCTCGTCCCGCATCTCGTCATAGGGCTCGGCCTTGACGGCTCCAGGCCAGAGCCTCAAAAGCAACAGCAGATTGCGACTTGCGACCGCTGTGATGTCAGATGATGTCATCACATTCCAGCTCGTCATTTTCGATATCCAGCAACCCAACGGTGACATCGGGCAGGGCGCGGCGAGCTTCCTGCCAGGCCGCCAGCATCTAACCCATGGACCAAACGAAACAGGAAGAACCAAAACCGAGTTGGCCAGCGGATGCCAGCGGCTATCCCAAAGCACTTTGTGCATCTTGATCTGCCGCAAAACCATGTTTGGTTGAGGGAAGGAAAGCATTCTGGTATCACGATCAGCTGCCTCCGCAAGCGCCTCAATCGCATCAGCCAGCTCTTTGGACGGCTTCCAGCCTCATAAGAGCCAAGGGAAGCAAAGGTACCAATCACCGGATAACTTATGAATTCATGCTTCTTTTCTGTCTGCTGCTCAGTGACCATTCTGAAGCTGTGCAGCCACACCGTTCTCCGACTGATTACTCTTCGAGGCCTGCCACTCCCAATGTGCAAGTCTGAAATAAGGAAGTGCGCAGATATGACAATGGCAGTCCGAAGTCTCCTGCAGCCCCTGTCGGTGATAGGCGAGCTCAGTCAATCCCGGAACACTACGGCAATCTGTGGTAAACCTGACAACACCCTCAGCACGGCTTGAGAATGTTATTCCCAGTCTCTTTTCCTGCTGGAGCTCGCCAGCAGGCAGCGAACAAACATGACGATCAATGCTCGCCGCATCTCTCCGCACTCCAAGCACCCACCTGCAAGCATTGCAGCAGGACGCTGGCAGCAGCTACGTCCTGCAAGTCAGCGGCGAACATGCCGCGCTTTTCAGTGAGCACTGAAAAGCACTAGCGAGACGGTGTCCCGGTGTCCTCTGGCTTGATCTCCCCGCTTATAGCCGGCATCTTCAAAAGGTCATGCCAATGCGCAAGAGATAGTGAGGAGATATCAAAAGGACATGGCTCGGGAGCATCTCCAACTTCGGGTCATGACTTCGTGATGGTGTGAACATAGAGCTTCGAGGGATGCTGCACAGTGCTACGCATCCATGCATGCCAGAACGCCCAAACCATCTGGCTAGAGTTTTCTCTGTCGCTTGCGCGAGACTTTCCGGCGAGCCGCGGGGATCTGAGCAGGAGTCGTCTTGACTCGAACCTGTTCAAGGAGTGCCGAAGTGGCTTTCACATCGGCAACAATGGAAGCACTGTCGTGACGCCGCCAATGTGATCAAGCTGCTCAAAGATCTCATCGCCTTGGAGCTCTCGAGATACTCATGTAATCTTGCACGTACACGACTTCTTCGAAGATGTCGGGCTCGTCCAAAGCTTCGTACGGCGGCCTCCCGGAATGCTTGAACGTTTGCATACCGACAACACCAGAGTCGAGGCATGCAACATTGCAGACATGGAAGCACTTCGATACAGGTTCTCAAACGTGCATTGCATCGATGAATAGCAGCAGCATGGAATCTTGCAGAATCACCGAGTTACCAAGGAGTGTCTCCGATAAAGCATGAGAAAGGCTGTGCGATATCTTGTTCATATGGCTTCTGAGTAGAACTCAATTGCCATCATTCTTGGCTGTGTCCTTCGTGAATGTCAATCCACATATAGCATCTGCAGTGCTCGTGGAAACATTCCAGAACCCTGCAACCACTACGGTTGAAGCCAGCCTCTCGTGTTCAATGTCAAAATTTGCTGTCCCTGCGTTGTGGCTCTTCAGGCCTGTCCGCCGGCCCGCTGGACTCCACACTGTAGCGGACACAAAGGTCTTCTTTGCTGTCCCTGTCCAGCAAGTCCACGGGTTCTGTAAAGAGTCTGTGCACAGACCATAAAAGCAACCATGTTCACACCCGGCCTCACGCTCTTGGCTGCCAGTACTTTGCCGAACTTCGGTGGATTTAACGTTCCGATGCTCTGTGAAAAAACGTAGTCCTGCAGCGCACACTTGCCCTCAGTTTCGTTCTCTCACAGATTTACAGGTTGCGTTGTTGCTGAACACCGTTCCAGTATGACCCCAGGGTAGTTATCATTGAAGTTATCATGCCACACTCGAGTACGGGCAAAACATGGTGGTGCCATGCTTTCCCGGTTGTCACTGTCTGTCCAGATACAGCATGAAGCGTGCGCAAGCCCCCAACTCAATGTTGTCAGGTCCTTCAGCAGGGCCTCCAGCCTGGGGATGTCAACCTCCTCGCGGAAGCTTACATGCTCTGGAAAGCCTTGCGGTACTTCGGACCCCCTCTCGTTGCGCGGACACAGAACCCTCACCAAAACCCAGCCGCCCTCAGCCCCACCCGGCCCCACCCAACCCCACCGGGCCCCACCCGGCCCCACTCGGCTCTACTCGGCTTCATTGACTATTCTATAGTATTTCAATATTCCAATGCATGCCCAATCCCCCCTTAGCCCCACCCGGCCCCACCCAACCCCGCCCGGCCCCACCCAACCCCACCCCTACTCAACCCCACCTGGCCCCACCCGGCCCCACCCAAGTCCCCGCCAGGAAAGCTAATGAAGAATGTCAAGCATCCAAGCATTCTGCCCAGATGCCCCGGAGTCTGTCCTTGTCAAATTCCCCAGCCGCTGGCCCGTCGGATGCCGGCACTGACAGAGCGGGCAAGAGCTCGACCTGTATGGAGACAGCCCTACGTCAACATAATGCGTGAAGGCTTTGATGTGTTCTGGGCTCTGTTCTGGTTGGAGCGTCCATTCCCAGATGCTCCCGGCCTTCTCGGCAGAGTCGCTCATGGCGACCCGGCGCGTGCTGTCAACTTTGGCCAGGAACTAGTCGATCGTGTGCGAGTGCATCTTGTAATGCGTCCGGGTTTCGAGTCTCGAGTCTTCTATCCTTCACATGTGATTTCTGCCTCCTGAGATTGAACCAAAACGCGACGACGCTTCGGGCTTGCTAGAGTTGCTAGCTGCTCGAACACATCGTCAGGCCTGAGGAGTATGAGCCGTAAGCCGGTCGTGCGTGCGCACAGACAGCAATGTCTTGCTCCAACGAGCGAAGACATGTGAACAGCGTGTGTTTTCAAAGTGGCATGCGTCGAGTGACAACATACCCATCGAACTGCACCGTCTACCGACAGAAAAACTGATTTGTTTTGATGCATAACATGGCCAGTACAATGAGGCTGCAGGCGATGGCCAAAAAGCGCTTCATCGCACACAAACAGCAAAAGCATGACCTTGCAGAGGCGGTACTGGCTGGATGCTCTAGACTCTAGACTCACCAGACGGACGTCTGGATCAGGACCGGCGGGTAGTGGTTCTGTTGTGGGGCGGGGTCTGATGCAGCGGCCTCTCTCTTATATCCATGTTTCA